GTGCAGGATAGGTAGGTTAGCCATAATAAATTACCCAGCGTGTCCAGGGATGTGCAGGATAGGTAGGTTAGCCATGATAAGTTACCCAGAGTGTCCAGGGATGTGCAGGATAGGTAGATTAGCCATGATAAATTACCCAGAGTGTCCAGGGTTGTGCAGGATAGGTAGATTAGCCATGATAAATTACCCAGAGTATGCAGGATAGGTAGGTTAGCCATAATAAATTACCCAGAGTGTCCAGGGATGTGCAGGACAGGTAGATTATCCATGATAAATTAACCTGAGTGTCCAGGGATGTGCAGGATAGGTAGGTTAGCCATGATAAATTACCCAGAGTGTCCAGGGATGTGCGGGATAGATAAATTATCCATGATAAATTACCCAGAGTGTCCAGGGATGTGCAGGATAGGTAAGTTAGTCATGGAAAATGCAGGGTTACAGGGATAGGGGATGGGGATGGGGATGGGGATGGGGATGGGTCTGGGTGGGATGCTGTTTGGAAGGTTGGTGTGGACTTGATGGGCCAAATGGCCTGCTTCCATACTGTAGGGATTCTACGATAACTGGCTTTGCCTGTAACTGTGATGCATTGAGTCAATCAATTTTGTTAAGTCTGTTAGACTGGAGTTCTAGGGAACCCAGTGTCTCTGAACTGTGATTGCTTGATTTTGAAGTCTTATTCTTCTGAAGTACTGAATATCAACGTGTTTAGCTGTTTTTGTGCTCTTAACATTATCCATTACCTGTCTCCATCTCTCAGGTTCTTGAATTGCTGTCCTATTAAACAAGCCAACAAAGGGCCAACCTTTCCACCATTGACAGCTGGCTCAGCGATTGCCCCAACCCACACATCGATATTGTTTGCAGTTCCATACAACTGGAGGAATTTCTTTGTCAAGTCCGAATTCTTGAGGATACTTTGAAGTTGTTGCTGATTCCTGGCTTCTGAAAGGCCACAGAATTTCCGCCAAGCATTAAAACCTGAAAAATTTAGAGAGAATTAATGGAGCTACGCACTTACATTTTAGTGAATAACACAGGAAATTCAGTGACCAGCTTCAACAGTCGCCACAATCCAGTGCCATTTTGAATTTTGTAAGAATAAACAGGATCAAACAAGATAACTGAAAGAGAGTCCAGAGCCCTGAGCCGGCTCACCAACAGCACCTGTGGCACCTACCGCCTTGCATCACCTGCGCCAGACCCACCAACTTCAGAATCGCCACTCTTTAGGCGCTGCCTCTTTGTCACTGGGTCCACCTCATTGATGCCACTGCTGATGCCAGGTCCCTTGCTGAACCCACACTCGCCCCGCAACCAGGAGTCCCTGGCTCCGCTGCTGTCTCAATGACACCAGGAGTCCCTGCTCTGGGCCTACTGCAACCAGGAGCCCAGGAGTCCCTGGCTCTGCTGCCAGACCAGGCCACAGCCTCCGTCTTGCCAAAACTCCTGCTCCGGCTGCCCTCCTCTGAGACGTTGCCCTGCCAGTGCCGCCATCTTGAAATCTGCTGCCGCCACTAATCACTGGAGGAGTCTTGCTGTTGCTGCCGTTGCCAGCTCTGAATACGAGGAGGATGACCCTGTGCCTGCTACTGTCTGCTGCAGCTTCCGATTGCTGGGAAGAGCCGCTGTTCCACATGCAGCCCGCTCTAGCTGCCACGCCGATTTCATTGACTAACCCACTGCAAAAAGCTTCAAAGTAAGGAGAGACAAAAGAAAAAAAAATTGAGAGAAAATGAGCAGAAGTGAAAAGAAAAAGAAAGCACGTGGGAGCGAATGAGCCCTGTACTACAGCCCCCATGCAGCCTTGTTACATCTTGATAACTGTGCATTACTTACGCCAGACAAAGCACAAATGCTTTTCTATTTGTGAGTCAGTACTTATTTAAAGATGCTTGCTTTCCTTTGACTCTATTCCTGTCTCCCTTTGTAACTGATTAGAGCACACTATCCCTAACAATGGCTAGTGGATGATATGTTTCATAGTACAGTTTGTGAAGTGGAGTAGACTGAACTGATAAAGATTGGTCAGTGCTGGGATTATACGTTTTTGCTACCTATAAATGACTTGGACCTTGGAGTGAAAGGAGATTGAGGGGATATTCTGGAAGTTATGCAAGATTTTGACAGATCTGGGAGAGGTCAACAAGGAAATAGCATTTCCATTAGCTGACAGGAGAAGGACTGGGTGGAAAAGATTAAAGTCTTGGGCAATAGATGCAGGTGTATATGAGGAGGAACACCCTTTACACAACAAGTGGTCATGACCTGGAACATACCACTAACGAGATGGAAGAAGTGGAAAAGAAAAATCAATGATTTCAAAAGTGAAATTGGAACTGACTCTTTCACTAACTGACTCCCCCTCATTTTATCTACAAGATCTTTTCAAAAAGTCTCCTTTTAGGTTTAATGAACATAATTGTTCTTTCATAAGCCACAGAAAGGCAAGTTCAAAAGATCCTAGTCCCATTGCAAAGGTGTGCTTCCCCAAATAACCTCCATGGTCCTTCAGCCACTCTACTGTAAGGTATGGAAATTCCAGGCCCATACACCACCTATGCGCTGTAGAGAAACAATGCTCTTCATAATAGGAGTTAGATAAACAAAAGCTTAAAAAATTATTCATTCATAATTTTTCATTATGTATTGTAAATAATTCTCCTTTTTGCTGCAGGGCAACAGAACTATCAGTCATCTCGACTTCTTAAAGTTTCAATACCTGAAATGTTTTACCCTCTGTGAACCAACATTATCAAATTGATCGAGATCAGAGCTGTCAATCAAGCCGGGCACAGCTACTTCAACAATTGAATGCATATTTTCTCCCCCCATGGGCTCTCAGCCAAGAACACAACATAATGAAACTGTAGCTACATCCAGCTTTTCTTTCTGGAGTAGGCTGTAACCAGCAGCCAGCTATTAACAATGAACATTGCACTTTTGAAAGCAATACTTCCAGAGGTAGACATGCAAAGCTGGGAATTATTTTGATTTTTTTTCTACCTGCCTTGAGGATGAAAGTCCAACTTTTTACTGATTCACCTCTGCATCTCCCTCCTCAGACTCAAATATTTACTCTGCCTGAAGACTCCCTGGTTTTTTTTTTCTGCTTTACAAAGATTAACCCCTGCTTCTGTAGTTTCTCCAGGCAACTGAAGGCACTCATTCTGAGCACCATTCTGGTCAATAACCTTTGCAACTTCAGCGTTTTCCCAAAAGCTATGGCTAAACTTGTGAGTTCAAAAGATTAGAGTAACATTTTGCTTTTGGGCCAAAGGGCTGATAATAACTGTAAGGGGTGAAAATTTGGGAGTCAAATTCTGTAGTTAAGAAACCAGGAAGTACATTTCCCATTTTATTTTATTTTGAGCATTTTCATTTCATACATCAGCCTTTTTACATCATTTCCGATCAGTCCTGGGGTGGGGTTGTTAAACAAATTATCTACATGAGTGAAACTAGTACCTGCTAGCTAAGGAAATCAAAATACCGTGCAAGCTGGAAATCTGAAACAAACACAGAAAATGTGGACCTGGATAGCTGAGTTGGTAGAGCATCAGGCTTTTGATCTGACAGTCCAGGGTTCATGTCTCGTTTTAGGCAATTTTTTTGAGGCACAGCATTGTGGCTCAGCGGTTAGCGCTGTTACCTCACAGTACCAGCAACCCAGGTTTAATTCCACCTTTGGGTGACTGTGTGGAGTTGGCACACTCTCCTCGCGTCTGCGTGGGTTTCCTCCCACAGTCCAAAGACGCGCAGGTTAGGTGGATTGGCTGTGTTAAATTGCCTATAATCTCCAGGGATGCATAGGCTAGGTGGGTTAGCCATGGGAAATGCAGGGCTGCAGGGATGAAGGAGGGGTTGGGGTGGTTGGTCCAGGTGGGATGCTCTTCATAGGGTTGTGTGTGGACTCGATGGGCTAAATGGCCTGCTTCCACACTGGTAGGGATTCTGTGAATGCTGGTGAATCTCAGCAGGTTTAGCAGCATCTGTGGAAACAGAAACAGCAATGATATTTTGAGTTCAGTATGACTCTATTTAACTCTGATTCTTTCTCCACACGTGCTGCCAGCCCTTCTGAACTCCTCCAGTATTTTCTACGCTTGTTCCTGCTAGTGTCTTCATACTACGAGTCTTAGTAATAAAATTGTTGGACATTTCAATATGTTTTTGTCATTTGCACAATGATTTTCCACTTACCTGGAAGACCATGATCCCGGGAACGCTGCATATTCAAAGAAGCCAGGTCCAAGGCTATTTGGCTGGTCAATTCAAAAAGCCTTTCTCGCAATTCATCATGCATCATCTTGTCCTGTACTTGCAATTTGGCTGGCCTGCCCAGCAATCCTCGTATGAGGGGATCAACGCCACCTAAAGCATACGTGGGTACACGGGCACACACACACACACACACAGAGACAAAAAAATAAACATACGTTGTTAATCTATTTTATGGGTAATTATTCTATTGTTTAAACTGTACCTTGAAGAGCATTAGTGTAGTTGACAGAGTAGGAGAAATACATAAGTATCTATGACAAAGATTATTACCCAACAAAATCTTACATTGTTTAAGCAAGACTCTATAATATTGTATAAATAGTGTTTGGCCAACAGATAGACATCTGAATTATACGAAGGCAGTATTCAAGTTTCTTGCCATAATTTCAAGGGCCATATGGCAAAATTGGCATTAATGGCTTTTGTGACATTTCTCCAGAAGATTCATTTCTCTTCCACTAGTCTGTTTTCAGAAATCCCGTGCAATGCTATGTGGTACTTTAAAGAGCAAGAGAAATATAGTTTGATAGTTTGAAGAGTATAAGAAAGAATATAGAATGTTATTTTCATGTTTTTGAGTCTGCATATTGTAATGCAGCTTGAAGTCTATAAAAGCAAAAATTTATGGATGCTAGAAATCTGAAATCAAAAGAGAAAATGCTGGAAATGTTAAATCAATTTATAGCTGTTGCCTGACCTAAATATTTTCAACATTTTCTTATTTTATTAGAATACAGCAATGTGCTCTTTGTTTCTTATATTCTGCCATTCTGATCAAGTTTTAATAAGGATATTAAATGCCAATTTAAAAAGTATTGTATATAATCTACCGTCTGTGGGGGAATCAAAAATAGCATGCAAATAAACAAGGGTTGGAGATAAAGTTGGCATTCTCTTAAATTCCAATGTCAATTCCTTAAACTCTTCTGTATTTGAGTACAGCTCCTTTGTGATGATGAGTAACCAATTAGTTTATATTTGGATGCAAGTTGTGGAAAAAGGAAAACCTCACTTTACTCAGGTTCTCAGACTCTGCTGCAATGAGTGATGGTGTGGATTAAAATTGGTCTATCCAGAGAATTGGGATTGAAACAAGAACCCACATGAAAAGGGTGTGTTCTTGCCTCCAAGTGTCTCCAAAATTGATAAGTAATTCAGCCAGACTCATAGTAGCTAACAATTTAATTTGACCAATATTGAGCAGTTTTCCTTCTCAGTTATTAAATGACTAATTTGCTGACCTGGCACTCTGCCGATACAATTACAACATGAAGCCAATCAGAAATTGTTTCCATTGAACTTCGGTTATCCCATCCACCATTTATCGGGTACAACCACTGAAGTCAATGGGACAGAAAATGGGAAAAGGTGCATACGATCATTTAATTAGAATCAACTACTTTTATTCTAATGCTGAAGATTAAAGCCATTCCTCAAAGACTTTCCATTGAGGGGAAATGGGTATCAATGCCTCCCTCACCCACTGTTATGGGATAAATAACACAAGAACATAGTTGACATAATGAAGACAGCAGGCTAGGGAAAACAGGTACAGTAGAAGACAAATGACAGGCAACAAAAATTCCAGCAGAAGGATGAAAATCATTTCATACAATCAGAAGCAAAGGACAACTAAACTAGTGGCACCCTAAGAGTTCTGTTGTGTGGGTTAAAGCACAATCCCGAGGATATTGCTTTGTGTTATCATTTACCAAACTGAGTTATTTACTATCAGATTTATTTTTCTTTTGAAAGAAGTGGAAAATGGTGGACAAGTCAAACATTTGAGATCCTTAGTGTTTCTTCTTTCAATTTGAGGATGCCTTATATGGTGAGGCTGCTGCATGCTGCAAGGTAGAAGTACAGGTAGTCCTCATTTAATGTTGTCTATTTAATGTTATTGTACTTTATTATTGTTAAATTAATGGGACAAATGTGGTCTTGACCATTGCAAAATTTACTTTAAGATCATTCCTTGCGCAGCCAAGTGGCCAACTAGGTCCAACATAAAATCAGATTAACTGCTTCTGCAAGCAAGACCTGATGGATTGCAAAGATGCCAAGGTTACGACAGATCAAAAACAAACAAGGACTCACCCAGAGGAGTAGGAGTGCCCAAAACTCATTGCATCATCGTTAGCCACGGGTGAGGCCCTGGAAGACTGGAGGGAAGTGAATGTTGTGCCCTTATTCAAGTAGGGCTGCAACAAAAAACCTGGGAATTATAGACCAGTAAGCTTAACATCTGTGATACATAAGTTCCTTGAGAAGATTCTGAGGGATAATATATACAGGCATTTGGAAAGACAGGGTTTGATTAGGAGTAGTCAGCATGGCTTTGAGCGTGGGAGATCACGCCTAAAAAATTTGTTAGGGATATAGATATACATATAGATCCAAATGGATTTCAGTAAGGCCTTTGATAAGGTTCCACATGGTAGGCTGCTCTGGAAGGTTAGATTGCATGGAATCCAGGGAGAGTTGGCAAATTGGATACAAAGTTGGCTTGAAGTTAGGAAGCAGAGAGTAATAGTGGAAGGATGCTTGTCAGACTGGAGGCCTGTGACTGGTGGTGTGCCTCAAGGGTCGATGCTGGGCCCATTGATGTTTATTATCTATATCAATGATTTGAATGAGAATGTACAAGGCATGATTAGTAAGTTTATGGATGACACTAATATGGGCCGTATCATGGACAGTGAGGAAGGTTATCAAAAATTGCAGCAGGATCTTGATCAGCTGGGCAAGTGGGCCGAGAAATGGCAAATGGAGTTTAATATAGATAAGCGTGAGGTGTCAAATCAAAATCGGAGTTTCATGGTGAATGGTAGGGCCTTAAGGAGTGTGGTGGACCATAGGGACCTTGGAATTCAAATGCAAGGCTCTCTGAAAGTGGAGTCACAGGTGGATAGGGCAGTGAAGATAGCTATTCGCACACTGGCCTTCATCAGTCAGGGCATTGAGTACAGAAGTTAGGAAGTTATGTTGCAGTTGTACAGGATGTTAGTGAGGCCGCACTTGGAATACTGTGTTCCGTTTTGGTCACCGTGCTACAGGAGGAATGTTGTTAAAGTGGAAATAGTGCAGAAGAAATTTACAAGGATGTTGCCAGGACTTAAGGGACTGAGTGATAGGGAGAGTTTGGACAAGTTGGGACTTTTTTTTCTTTAGAGTGTAGGAGACTGAGGGGCGATCTTACGGAAGTGTATAGGATCATGAGAGGCATGGATAGGGTGAATGCACTCAGTCTTTTCCCAGGGTTGGGGAATCTAGGACGAGAGGGCATCAGGTTAAGGTAAGAGGGGAAAAAATACATGGGAACCTGAGGGGCAACATTTTTCCGCAGAGGGTGGTATGCATATGGAATGAGCAGCTAGTGGAAGTGGTTGAGGCGGGTACATTAACAACATTTAAAAGGCATTTGGACAAATACATGGATAGGAAAGGTTTAGAAGGATATGGGCCAAGTGCAGAGAAATGGGATTAGCGTGGATGGACATTTTGATCAGCATGGACCAGTTTGGGCCCAAGGGCCTGTCACTGTGTTCTAGGACTCTATGACCCTATTAAAAGGTACTCAGCCTCAGAGTGAAGAGATAACACTTTAGAACTAAGGATGAGGAGGAATTTCTTAAGCCAAAAGGTTGTTAATTTGTGAAACTCATTGCCACAGAAGGCTGAGGAGGCCAAGTCATTAAGTGTATTTAAGACAAAGATAGAGAAGTTCTTGATTAGGAATGGCATCAAGGGTTACAGGGAGAGGCAGGAGAACGGGTTTGAGAAACATTGGTCATGATCAAATAGTGGAGCAGACCCAACCCAATGGTTTGGAATGCTCTTCGGTCAGTTGGTGCAGACTCGATAGACCAAATGGCCTCTTTGCACACTGTAGGGATTCTTTGATTCTAAATGCTTTATACTTTCTGCTAAGGAAGTGTTACCCTTACTATAGCTCTCACATCAGATTGCTGGATTTCATTTAAAGCTGTTTCACTTAAGGTAGCAATTCTCAGAAATGGGACCATAACATTAAATAAGGACTATCTGATATGACACACCACACTTAGAAGCTAGTTAGTGTAATCATGAGACGTTTACTGAAGTGGAAGGCTGCTCTCAGTCTCACTGCAATGTCTCAGGATGAGATTGCTGCCGTCATATTAAAGGCTGTTACCTACCTTCCCTGATCAGTCTCCAGGGAGTGAAGAAAGCCTGGTGCAGGTCAATGTTTTTGAATTGTGGGTGTTCCTGGTAATTTTCATTCAGGCGGAATAGCTTTGGCTGAATGATGAGATGTCCGAAACGAAAAGCTGCTGTTGAGACAACATTAGCGATACTGGGATCGGTAAATTCATTATAGCCTTCATAAGGTGGGAGAAATTTCTGCATTGCTTCATTCCCAATAAGTAATGGAAGAAAGTCTCTGTAGGTTATTATCTGTAGCAGGAAGAGAAATTATCAGTGTAGTTTGATCTAAAGGGATCAGTAAGTATTGTGTTAGAAAATGATCTGCTTATTGTTAGATTTTAATTGGTTACAGCTCTGGCACAGACAGAAGGATTCATGTTTCCACCACTGCTGAGTTTTGGGAGGGAGAGTAATGTGAATTACTCTTTACCCTGATATCTGGGATATGGCAGCTCAGAACGTAATGATTGGGTACGGAAGTTAAAATTAATAATGGAATCAGAATATTACGGCACAAAAGGAGATCAATCAACCCATTGTATCTGTGTTGATCTTCTGAAGGACTGATCAACCTATTACCAACTTTTCCTCAGAGCCCTGCCCATGTTTCCTATTCAGGTTTTACTCCAATTTCCTTTTGAATGTTTCAATTTTAAACCAGTCTCTACCACTTTCTCAGGAAATACATTGCAGATCTTAATCATTTGCTGTGTGAAACATTTTTCTTCTTGTTGCCATTGCTTCTTTTACTAATTACCTTAAATCAGTGTCCTCAGTCTCACAATCCTTCCACCAATAAGAACAGCTTGTCTCTATCTACTCTGACCAGACACTATAATTTTGAACATCTATCAAATCTCTTGTGAGCTTTCTCTTATCTGAGGCAAGCATCTGCAATTTCTCCAATCAATTTAATAATGGAAGTTCCTCATTGTTGGAAATATTATTGGCATGGTGACTCAGTGGTTAGCATTGCTGTCTTATAGTGCCAGGGACCTGGGTTTGATTCTACCCTCGAGTGACTGTCTGTGTGGGGCTTGCATATTCTCCCTATCTCTGTGAGGGCTTGCTGCGGTTTCCTCCAACAATCCAAAGATGTGCAGATTAGCTGGATTACCTGTGATAAATTGCCCTGTAGTATCCAGGGGTGTGCAGGCTAGGTAGGTTAGCCATGGTTAATGTGGGGCCATGGGGTCACAGGTCTAGGTGGGATGCTCTTCAGGGGGTTTGGTGCAAACTTGATGGGCTAAATGGCCACTATCTGCACGATAGGGATCCTATAATTCTCTTGAATTGCTTCTGCACTCACTCCAATGTCTTCACATCCTTGCAAAGAGGTGGTGACCAAAAATGGATGTAATATTCTAGTTGAGGCTGAACTGGAGTATTATACAGTTCTAACATGAGCTCCTTGTGTTCATATTCTATACCCAGATTTGTAAAGTTCATGATGCTGTATGCTTTATTAGCTGCTCACTTAATCTGTGCTGCCACCTTCAATGGTTAATACACACAGGTCTCTCTGCTCCTGCACCTCTTCTAGAATCGCACTCTATTTCATATTGTGTCTTTATGCTCTTCCTATCAAAATAAATCACTTCTCACACTTGTCACAATAAATTTCACATATCATTACAACAACTTGTGTATCTTCTTTTGAAGTTTAACACCACTGTGATTCACAAAACTTTCAAGTTGCATATTATCTACAACTTTTAAAATTGTGCCCTCTACATTAAGGTCTGAGTCATTAATCTGCATAGGATAGGTTATATGGAGCCCAACACTAAAAACCTGCCCCTATCTGAAAAACAGTCTTTTACCACTACTCTGCTTTTGTTCATTAAGCCAAATTCATTGAGCCATTTTGCTACTGCCTCATTTTTTACATGAGATCTAACTATCCTCACAGATACTAAACAAAAAGCGAAAGAACTGCGGATGCTGTAAATTAGGATACAAAACAGAAGTTGCTGGAAAAGCTTGGCAGATCTGGCAGCATCTGTGAAGGAAAAAACAGAGTTAACAATTCGGGCCCAGTGACCCTTCTTCAGAACAGTTCTGAGGAAGGGTCACTGGACCCGAAACATTAACTCTGTTTTTTCCATCACAGATGCTGCCAGACCTGCTGAGCTTTTCTAGCAATTTCTGTTTTGTATCCTCACTGATATGTTGCACAATACTTTATCAAATGTCTTCTGTAAACCTATATCCTCCATATATACAGCATTACCTTATCAAGCTTCTGTAATACCCCAAAAAACTCAAGCAACTTCAACACAATTTGTCCTTTGAAAATTTATGTTGGCCTCCCTCAATTATTCTGAATTGGCCCAAGTGACTATTAAAATATCATTTCTAAAGCTTTCCCACTGAGATTGAAATGACTAACTCCTTTGCTGAGCTTCCCTTTTCATTTCAGAACACAGAACAGTACAGCACAGTACAGGCACTTCGGCCCATGATGTTGTGCTGAACTTTTAACCTAAACCTAAGGTCTATCTAACTTCCACCCCTACCTTATACTATCATCCATATGCCTGTCTAATAACCGCTTAAATGACCCTAGTAAGGCCGACGCCACTACCCTCTCCGGCAATGCATTCCACGCCCCGACCACTCTCTGAGTAAAGAACCTACCTCTGACGTCTTCCCTATATCTACCTCCACTCACTTTAAAACTATGCCCCCTCATAATAGCTACCTCCACCCTAGGAAAAAGTCTCTGCCTGTCCACTCTATCTATACCTCTGATCATTTTGTACAATTCTATCAAGTCACCTCTCATCCTTCGACGTTCTAAAGAGAAAAGCCCTAGCTCCCTCAACCTTTCCTCGTAAGACCTTCCTTCCATTCCAGGCAATATCCTGGTAAATCTCCTCTGCACCTTTTCCAAGGCTTTCACATCTTTCCTGTAATGGGGCGACCAGAACTGGACACAATACTCCAGATGTGGCCGAACCAGGCTTTTGTATAGCTGGAGCATAACTTCACAGCTCTTGAACTCAATCCCTCTATTAAAGAAAGCTAACACACCATATGCCTTCTTAACAACTCTATCCACCTGGGTGGCAGCTTTCAGGGAACTGTGGACATGAACCCCAAGATCCCTCTGCTCCTCCACACTGCCAAGAATCTTTCTGTTAACTCTGTGTTCTGCTTTCAAGTTTGTCCTTCCAAAATGAATCACCTCACACTTTTCAGGGTTAAACCCCATCTGCTACTTCTCAGCCCAGCTCTGCATCCTATCAATATCCCTTTGTAATCTAGAACAGACCTCCGCACGATCCACAACTCGACCCACCTTCGTATGGTCCGTGAACTTACAAATCCACCCTTCCACTACTTCATCCAAATCATTTACAAAAATCACAAATAGAAGAGGACCCAGAACAGATCCTTGTGGTACACCACTCGTAACTGAGCACCATGTTGAATATTTTCCGTCCACTACCACCCTTTGTCTTCTAAGAGTCAGCCAATTCTGAATCCAATCTGCCACATTTCCCCCTATCCCATGCCTCCTTACCTTCTGCATGAGCCTACCATGGGGAGCCTTATCAAATGCCTTACTTAAATCCATGTATACCACATCCACTGCTCTACCTTCATCCACGTGTTTGGTCACCTCTTCAAAGAATTCAATAAGGTTTGTGAGGCATGATCTACCCCTCACAAATCCATGCTATCACGAATCAAACTGTGCCTTTCCAAGTGATCATAAATCCTATCTCTCAGAGCCCTTTCCAATAATTTTCCCACCACTGACGTAAGACTAACTGGCTTGTAATTTCCGGGGTTATCCCTATTCCCTTTTTTGAACAAGGGAATGACGTTTGCCTCTCTCCAATCTTCCGGCACTATACGTGGACAGTGAGGACGAAAAGATGACCGCCAAAGGCCCTGCGATCTCTTCCCTCGCTTCCCATAGAATCCTTGGATGAATTCCATCAGGCCTGGAGGACTTATCTATCTTCAAGTTCCTCAAAATTCCTAGTACATCTTCCTTACTAACATCAACCTCTTCTAGCCTACCAGCCTGTTTCACACTGTCCTCTTCTACAACTAGGTCCCTCTCCGTTGTGAATACCGAAGAAAAGTATTCATTAAGGATCTCTCCTATCTCTTTAGGCTCCGTGCACAAATTCCCTTTACAATCGTTGATCGGCCCTACCCCTTCTCTGGTCATTCTCTTATTCCCCACATACGTGTAAAAAGCCTTGGAGTTTTCCTTGATCCTATCTACCAAGGTTTTCTCATGCCCCCCTTATAGCTCTCCATAGCCCTTTCTTCAGCTCCTTCCTGGATAACTGTATCCCTCTAGAGCCTTTTCCGTTCCTTGTTTCCTAAACCTAATATAAGCATCCTTTTTCCTCTTAACCAGTCGACCTCTCTTGAGAAGCAAGGCTCCCTCACTCAACCGCATCTTCCCTGCCTGCTAGGGACAAACATATCGAGCACACACATTTCAATAGTGCTCTTCCCTGACAGGATCTGTTCCCATTTTATGTTACCCAGTTCTTGCCTAACAGAATTGTAATTACCCTTCCCCCAATTATAAACCTTACCCTGCTGTATGTACCTATCCTTTTCCATGACTATTGTAAAAGTAACAGTGTTATGATGGCTACCGCCAAAATGCTCTCCTACCAACAGATCTAACACTTGGCCCGGTTTATCGCCAAGCACCAAATCCAAAGTGGCCTCTCCTTGTGTTGGTCTATCTACGTACTGTGTCAGGAATCCTTCCTGAACACACTGGACAAAATCTGCTCCATCTAAACTGTTACAACTAAAAAGTTTCCAATCAATATTTGGAAAGTTGAAGTCACCCATGACTACAACACTGTGACTTCTGCACCTTTCCAGTATCTGCCTCCCAATCCATTCCTCCACTTCTCTGCAACTATTAGGGGGTCTGTAAAAAAACCCCAACAAAGTGACTGCTCCTTTCTTGTTCCTGACCTCAACCCAAACTGACTGTAGACATATCATTCTCATTTTTTTCTGAACAAGTGTGCAACACTGGCAATTTTACCAACTGCTGGCAATCCAATGTTGGAAAATTATAGACAGTTTCTCCACAAACCACATACAGACTTCATCACTATCCAAGAGTACACCTCATCCCATTCTGGTTCCTTGTCAACTTTAATATATTTGAACTTTTACCACTGCAAGGAGAAGTTTCCTGAATGCAACAGGCCACCTTAGCTCAGATACTGCCTGACCTGAGAACATGAGCATCCGACTATCTGACCCCAGAATGTGGCTATCCTACGGTCTGACCCCACAGCAGGGCACCCCATTGTTTGGCCCAAGAACATGGATACGCCACAGTCTTAACCCCAGAACATATATAACCCACTGTCTGACCCCAGAGCGGGGGCATGCCCCACTGCCTGAGCCCAGAGAGGTGGCAGCCCCACTGCCTGACCCCAGAGCGGGGGCACCCCCCACTGTCTGACCCCAGAGAGGGGCACACGCTTGCAGTGGGCCCTTCCAATTTCTAACCCCAGTGTCATTGGAAGCGAATTGGCAATAAAACATTGTTTAGGCACAACTAGCTAGTTCACAACAGGAATATATTCATAAAAATTGAACCTCAAGGCAACATTACGTCAACAAATGTTAAGTGAACAAAAACAAGGAAAATGGGTCGAAACAACTGAAAAAGTTACAGTCTGATTAAACTTGAAGAACCGCAAACTTAATTAAAGATGACCCGTACTTGCTCCTACAGATATCACTTGTGACATTTTCTCTGTACCTGTTGAAAAGCTCCCAGGATTTTTCTTGCTTCCTGATAAGTTGTATCTCCGCTCCAGTGAGGGTTCATCCTTTTCAGCTCTCTTGCTAAACGATTGTGTTCCCGGAGAAATACCGTATGTAACGATAACAGGGCTAGCTGTTCATTTACTCGTACATCTCCTGTGAGAAGACATTCAAGTTGACAAGTATTATGTCTACCATCCTACTGAAAAAGAACAAAAAGCCAATAAATAATGAAGGTAGCTCAACACAACCTTCCCAAGGGCAACTAGCATGGGGAATAAATATTGGTTCAGTAATATCACCAACGTCCCACGAATGAATGAAGAAAAAAACCTGAAAATGAATTAAAAAGATCAAAGATGGTAGGAGATCTCAATAGGTTTCTAAAGCGTAAGGATGACAATGTGGGAGGATTACTGATTCCAGCTAACCAGCAAGATTGTACTACATCACTGAAAAACTTTGGGGCATGAAAACTTAAAGGATACATTTTCTTTTGCACCAGAGATTTTGGGTCTATAATTGTGGAAAGAAAATAGTAAGGGCAAAATATTAAAGTATCTGCATTTATATATCACCTTTCACAAACTCAAGACATCTCAGAGCAAGGTGTAGACAATAAAATATGCTGAAGTGGACTCACTGTTGTAATGTAGGAAATTCAACAGCTAATTTGTGCTCAGTAAGTTTCCGTTAATAGCAAGACACAATGTTTAGATTATAAACTATGTGTGGTATTGGTTGAGGGACAAATAGCAATCAAATGAAGTTTCTGTTTCAAAATAGTGCCATGAGATAATTTACATCAACCTGAGAGCGCAGATGGGATTTTGGTTTAATATATCATCCAAAGGATGACACCTGTGACAGCGGAGCATTCCCTCAGTACTGCACTAGAATATCAGCCTGGACTATGTGCTCATGTCTCTGGGATAATAAACTGGAAACCACAATTTAAAAGACTCAGAGACACAACTGTAGTCAATAGATGATTAAGGATCGAGTCATTAAATGTACCTTTGGCCTTGTGATAATATTGTCACCACTGAAAACAAAAAGGTAAAAGATTCATTCTGGAGACCAGACAATTTCAGCTGGGATAAATTGCAGCGTTGTATTGAGAGAATGCTAGCGTTGCAGTATGGGGTGTACTGAGGAAATGCTACATTACCAATGATGCTAGCTTTCAGATGAGGTATCAAACCAAGGCCCCCCTTCTTCTCTCAGACTGACATGCTTTTGGAAGTGGAGACATCAACATTCCTACAGTTCATTATTTATCTGTCAAGCCTTACCTGAAAAAAAATTAGCTAATCATTTATTATTTCCTGTGATAGTCAACGTGGGGAAAGATTTGCCAGCATCAGGCTAGGATTTTGTTTTTGATGGACTAAGAGTAGTATTTATCCTCACCAAAAGCCTGAAAATGGGAGGTTATCTATTTTATGCACATTGGCAAGAAGAATAGAAGAGCTGAATATTATTTTAAAGGAGAAAGACTGCTGAAGGACAGAGCACAATGAGAGTTGGGGCTTCTCATGCATAAAAGCCAGCATCCATGTTCAACAGACTAATAGGTAAGGCAAATGGAATATAGGCCTTTATTTAAAAAGGAATTAAGTATAAAACTACACAGGATGGTAGTCAGATCGCATGTAGAATACTGGGAACAGATTTAGTCCCCTTACTTAGGGAAAGATATACTGTTATTGGAAGTAGTCCTGAGAAGGTTCAGTAAGTTGATCCTGGATTAGGAGGTATTTTCTTACGCGAAGAACTTTGATAGCTGGACTTATATTCACTAGAGTTTAGAAGAATGAGAGGAGATCTTATTGAAACAATAGGATTTTTAGAGAACTTTACATGGTAGATGGGGAGAGGTTATTTCCTCTTGTGGGAGAATCTAGGACCAGAAGGGATAATCTCAGAGTTAGAGGTTACCCACTTAAAACAGAGGTGTGATTTTTTTTGGATTTCTTCTTTCAGAGGGTTGTGAATCTGTAGGAATTCTCTATCACAACGAGCTATTGAGACTGGGTCATTAAATATATTCAAGGCTGAGATAGACCAACTTTTAATCAGTAAGGGAACCAAGGGTTATAGGGAAAAGATGGAAAAGTGGAGTTGAGAATTATCAGATCTCATCAAATGGCAGGAGTGAATGGCCTACTTCTCCTCTTAAGTCTAATGATCTTATTTTGCCTAATGCCAAAAGATGGAATGTGCATCATAGGCATCTCACCACTGTCACTACACAAGTTGCAACATCAGTTGCAACACAGTACAAATAAGTTCTCATCTATAAAGGCATGTTTCTGATTTGCCCAGCTAAAAACATAAAGCAGTAACTGTATGAATAATGAGAAAGGCAATAGTGAGGTATTGTCATTTTTGACTTGCTATTGCTCTATCCCTATTAGAATGCTATTTTCCTAGTCCACTTTATCATCATTGGTGCAAAGTTTGGTGTAATGTTCTTTCATATTTCAATTATTCTCATCTTTGGACATCTTGCAAAATCAATTGCTACATGATATCTCCTAACACCTTTCTATGTAAATTCCTCTAATGTGTGTTAAACGATTGTAAGGCTGGAGCTGTGTATGTAGAAGGAATGCCCCGTACAAAAGTTACTTGGGACAGGATTTCTTAATCCAGCTGTTACTCACCAGCTATAAAACACGGAGTTGAGTTCTCACTGGTGAAACAACTTTCCCCCATACTTCCACAAAGGTTGCTTGAAATGGTGTTAAATGGTAAATATTCTCGTCCATTGTCGGAGAATTCTTTATTGACAGCCAACAGGCCAAGTTCATTAGTGAGGTTTCTGAGTTTGTTGGCCAGACAGTCTGTACTGCCATAGACTTCGTTAACATCAATGAAAGCAGTAAGTGCGTTGATCTGCTGACGAGTGTTGACATCTCCAAACAATGAGCCCAGCTCACCACTGCCACACGCAGGAGCTGACCGGAAGAACGGAAAGCATTTACTCCTGTCCTTGATTCTTGTGTCACCTTGAGGGATCTGTCAGGAAAGATCCAGAACACTTTAGATCGAAGCGGAAGAAGACCTGTCTGTAGTCAGTGACTGGGACAAGGATTTTTTCTGCATTCTGCTGCTCACAGAATAAATAACTTGGAGCAGTTGACTTTAAACAATTGTTAAATGTTGTCTAATGACACTAAGGTACATAGCCAGGTAGCTTACTAGAAATAGGTAAATAGCATTCAAACTGTTCAGACCAGATATATTAAAGGACTAAGCAATAGTTAGTTGATTTTAATGTGAGTATAACAGCATGAAATAATGCAGGTTGGTGCAGGATATGAACTATGCATAGACAATGAATAAATACATATTTTTAAAAGCACAAATTTAATCATTTAGCAAAAATGTCTTAATGAAGAATAGCTATGATATGTTATAAATATATAATCAAGGGCAGACACAGTTCACGACACTAGAGCTCAAGGAATAAATTACATTAACTATAAATATTCATTGATGAAACCATTGGATTTGACTGTGGACACTGACTGCATGTTGATTTAGTTCAGAGCATTGCAGAAGAGTGTAAATGAAGATTCTAAGAACACACGTGATCCAGAAAAAAAAACAAGTATTTATTGGAGCAATCCCTCTATTCTACTTCTTTTCAACAGTGATGGGTATTCTGACAGTGTAATTCTAGAGCGTAATAACAGTTTTATCTTCCACTGGTCTTCATTTTCCTCAATACTTCTTCAATCGGAAGCAATACATGGTTCCTCACTCTTTTCCCTATTCCATCTTAGTCAATATTTCAGTTGCTATAGAAAAATTCAGTTACACCTTTCCTGATCTATGATGAGTAAAGACTGTAGGTCAAACCAGGTCAGAGGGTATTTTATAGTTGAGAATTTTGAGGCGGATTTTCAGGAAACATTTGAAGCTCCTAATTTCACTGGTGAGCCTATATAAAATGAATGGAACAAGGCTGCAAAGAAGGGAAAAGATCACATGCTGTACAAATAAGTTCAGGAGTAGAATAGAGGTCTCACCTGAATTGGGAAACAAGGACTTTGCTGAACACAAGTTTTTTGACAATCGATGCCGTCATTGAAGGTCTGGAGGCTGCCACTCAAAGGACTTAAACTCATGTCATGATCAGTCCACTGACCCCACTGCATAAAAAAATGACTTCTTGTTAAATCTGAGACCACATCTTTATTGGCTGTTTTCAGGATTTTGTTTGACACCTTTCGAACCTGGAGGAAAAGTGGAAAGCATTCAGCACATGAAAATAAGTCAAGGTTCATACAATGATCAATCTTCTGTCCTCTCCTCTGCTCTTCTACATCATGTTCCCAACAAAGGAAACATCAATGAAGGCTGAAATGTCATGAGAACATAAAGAACATACCAAGCCAGAGACATTAAATAGGTGATGGGGATTTTCTTTTTAACTTGCCCAACCAGTGGGCCATTTAATACATCACTGCATTGCAGTCTTTTCATAGATGCTGCAAATCTATTTCCAGTTACCACTGTATTGAGGAGTCGTTTGTGCTTTGTTTCCACACCCACTAAGACTGTGTTGAGTTGTTGCAAAGACAACCCATAAAATAACAATGAAAGGATGAAAGGGAAAAAGTGTGCTTCATCCTATCTGACTGGTTAACTCTAGGTGCAGTATGAAGTAATATGTGTGATTTATATGTATTTTAACATCATTTTTATAGGGTTTGGATTTGTCAGGCTTTCTGGGGCCATGATTTTTGAAAAGTATGAGGATATGTTTCCTGGAATTTGTTCACATTAGGAGAGTTTTTAACCAGTAACTGGCTTTGGGGACTCAGGAGGTGAATTACTCACTACAGGATTTCTAGCCTCTGACCTGCTCTTTTATCCACAGTACTTAGGTGGCAAGTCCAGTTGAGCTTCTGATCAAAGGTAACTAGCAGGATGTTTAGGATTCAGTGACGGTAATTCGGGAGCTGAGTGACCCTGGTGAACCCAGGGCAAGATAAAGAGTGAAATGTATTATAATTCCAGACAGAAGGATCCAGAATGGTTTTTTTTTTGTTTCGGGAAACACTTATAGTTTGGAAAGAAAAACATTGCTTGTGGTTTCAGTTTAGAGAAGTCACTCTAGAGATTAGATGTGTGAAACAGTTTCTCCTGAAGAAAAGAGATGGATTAGATCTGTTAGGATGTAAGTTACCTCAGTGTAAGCAGTTTGAAACTCCAGACCTGAGGTATTTGGTTAGAGCCTGCAGTGATTATTTGAAGCTGAGAAAGTTATGTCCATCATGTTAATACTCAAAAGAAGAGGCTATCCGACTTTCAGGACTGGGAATTGAAATAAAAGTTAGGTCAATCCATAAAGGTGACAGAGAACTGGTGTTTGAGTACTGTAAAGGGGTAGTGTTAGATTAGGTGGGATTGTATATCACTGTGTATGTTGAAATATTATAGTTTGTCTTATATGAAAATAGCTTGGTTTATTCGGTTTGATCTTCTTTTATTTTGATAAATAAATTGCATTTTTATTATTAAAACCAAATGTTTGATATTGTATGTCTGTGCTTCAGTCAAAGACCACTTCAAAAAATATAAAGAAAACAAAATATAATCTATGATCTAGGTTGTTCAGTCATAATATCAGCTGGGATCATAAAGAAGGGATATTGCACTAACACACCTCATTATCTGCTCCCAGTATGGTGTAGATCTGTACAGGTGACCGCAAACAAACAGCTCTTTAATGCATAGCATAGAGATTTTGATTCATTTCTGTCTGATGTGCAAATAATTACCAGTGGCAGATAAGATCCAGAATGCAATTTGCCCGGAGTCCAACCCAGTGGAAGTGAAACTCCATCTTCATAGCGAGCTGGGAGCCATCGGGTGAGTGCAGTGTTAGACGATCCCAGGCGAGGCTTCCTCCTGGAAATCAGGAAAACAAAACTTTAAATTTCTTTCCATCAATGTACCCAATCCAAAAATAGAACTTAGTCTAAATGAAACTTGTACAAGTAATGTTTCTATAAGTGAATGACATTTTAATAAAAACATTTAAATTTAGGCTCACAAGTATACTTGTCAAGGTAAAATTTGGTAAGTGAAAAATTACTGCACAAATTTTGCTTTGTAGGAAAATTTCAACAAACCTAGAATTATAGATTTGATTTCTTTTCAAATAATTAATTGCAAAGTTTCAGAGTTTGGACCTATGGTTGAAGGGCCCGAATATGCAAATATTTGGCAAGAGGTTTTGGTTTACAATTTAATAGCTAGAATGTATTAAATCAAAAGTTATTCAGGCATTCAGCTTTAGCAACAATGTTATCTTGCTGGTTTGAAGAAAAGATTGCCTAAAGTAACACTTTTATCATAATAAAACATAAGTACAGATGTGCTTATCCAGTACTTTAGAAGTTACGGTTACTGCTTGAGAAGTACAGACTCCAATATTGATAAATAGCCTGTTTCCATGTTGTCATTTCTAAGCAATTCTAAGATGGTTCAGAGGGTTGAAGTGTAAAATCCAGAGGTGACCAGGATAGTCAAAAATTCCCTTAGGAGAAGGAAGCCAGTAGATGTCAGTGTAAACTTGATTTCTAGACATCTGACAGAGATCCTCAGCATCACAGATACCAGTCTTCAGCCAATCTGATTCACTCCACATGATATTGAGAAATGATCGGAGGAACTGGATATGTAAAGCCAATGGGCCCTGACAACATTCTGGCAATAGTACTGAGGACTTGTGCTCCAGAATTTGCTGCACCCCTAGCCAAACTGTTCCAGTACATGTCTAACACCGGCATCCACCTGACAATGTGGAAAATTGGCCCACATATGTCTTATTACACAAAAAGCTTGATAGATCTAATCTGGCCAATTACTGTCCCATCCGTCTACTCTTGATCATTAGTAAAATGATGGGAGGTGTCATCAACAATGCTATCAACCAATACCTGCTCATCAATAACCTGTTCATTGGGTTCACCAGGGTCACTCAGCTCCTGAATTACCATCAATGAATCCCCAACATCCTGCTGGTTACCTTCGATCAGAAACTCAACTGGACTCGCCACCTAAGTACTGTGGCTATAAGAGTAAGTCAGAGGCTAGAAATCCTGTACCGAGTAATTCACCTCTTGAGTCCCCAAAGCCAGTCCTGTATCTACTATGCACAAGTCAGGAGTGTGATGGAATGCTCCCCACTTGCCTGGATGAGTGCAGTTCCAATATCACTCAAGAAGTTTGACACCATCCAGGATAAAACAGACCACTTGGCTGGCACCACATCCACAAACATCTATTCCCTCCATCACAAATGCTCAGTAGCAGCAATGTGCACCATTGACAACATACAGTGCAGAAGTTCACCAAAGATCTGTACAGAGTGTAGTGATTCTAATGAGGTCAACCAGGTGGACATCATAGAATATGAGTTTCTTGATTAGGGCTGTTAGTCTGGTCCAATCAGGGAGCCCTGGCTAACAGATAAAAAGAGGCATGTCGGACATTCTGACACTCTGACAGCTGGTTCTGAGGGAGCTGGACCAGTGTCCAGGACCTTTCATGTGTAAATAAAGGCCACGTTTGTGATGGGATACCAACCTCTGTGGAGTAATTTCACACAATACTTTCTGAATCCACAACCACTTCCATCTAGAAGAATAAGGGGAACAGATAAATGGGAACACCCCCACCTGCAAGGTCCCTTCCAATTCATTCGCCATTCTGACTTGGAAACGTGACACAGTTCCTTTAGCATTATTGGGGCAAAATCCTGGAACTCCCTCCCTAAGAGCTTTGTTGATCTACCTATGTCAAATGGAGTGCAGTGTTTGAAGAAGGCAGCTCACCACTGCCTCCTCAAGAGTGACTATAAATCCACAGTAAATGCTGGCCCAGGCACTGATGGCCACAACCCATGAATGAATAAAAACAAACTCAAAAACTCATCCATCAATTATGATGGTCTACAGGAAGTATAACTATAGTAAACACATACTAGATGTTACTTTGAAACTAGAAAAGTACTGACAAACCAGTGGAAAATTTACAACTGAATGGCTGGTGCAGATGTTTAGAAGGCCTGGAGAATTCATCAGCCGCACATCACAAGGTGCAAGTGCGATTTATAAAGTTGCAACTTTTCGTATGGTTCAGGGGGCAATCATTGGCACCCACAATTTGTGTGATCTGATAGAAAATGTTGAGAAATACCTCAGTGGGAAAAGCTTCACTCCCCCAATGTACATCTATCCAAAGTAACAGGTATCTATTATTACAAACAAATCTCTGTCTTTGCGAAATCTTTACGATCCATCTTGGTTTCTAGACCGTCTCCTGTTCTATCGCTCTCTCTTCAATTAAGACCATTGACAACATTCACAGGTCTCATGCATCAATGTGATGTAAAATGGCTCTGAAGAAAGGTCACATTTTCTCCGCAATGTTGTTTGTTGCACCAGCATTTTCTGCTTTTGTTACAATGATATAAATGCTTCTGAGGACATGTTCCATTTTTTTTATCATGAATAGACGTTAATCAAAATGAAGATGAAAACATTTAATGAATAACTGTATTTGTTTAGCACTCAATCACTGCAGTGGATAGTGGTCACCAGCAGCATCAGTTCCTACCTGTTGTTGCACACAGAGGTGAAGGTCCTGTATCGGTCTGTAAAACAGTCGTATTTACAGAGTGGGGGCTGACGTATAGCTAGACAGCCTGTGACATGTGCAATGGCATCCAGGTCAGTCGGTGATAACAAATCTGCAGGAAACACGCACACTCATTGACCAGTTGAGAAATTCACACACTAAAAGTGCACCAGTTAAACAACAATCTGGCTTTCTGCTACAGCAACAGCATCGATAGATACTGGCTGTACCCTCTGGTTTGTGGAGGCGTTCAAATGGTTGCACCACTCCAGGTTCTGTGATTGTGGGTTTGAGCTGCAGTGTGACCTGCTGTTATGTGCCACTGCCTTTGACTTTATTTAACACAATTTCAGTGAGAACTTCATCGTTTCTCAAACAGGCTGCTTCCAGGTGAGTTTTGTAAGTGTACAACTCCTCACATTGGATAACAGCTGTAACTCAGGGCTTGGCAAGTGCCAGAGCAGGATCTGAAATCCCGGAACAGATTTTACTCAGAGATACTCCCCAGCCTACCTTCAAATGTGCTGCAGGAGGGCCGTAACGCTCAGTGGATGAAGCAGAGTCTTGAACTGAAGAAATCAGTAAAATACGGAGTGTCTTCCATGTAGTCAGGCAGCCTGTAGAAAACTGCTAGTTGGATGGACCTTCTGGCTTGTATCATCCACTCCCTGGCCTGTGTCTACACTGTCATCATGCAGATTGTGCTTTTCTGAATGGAACTTATCCTCACATGACTCAATTTGCAAGATTGTTGCAAAATTTTAGCAATCGTGGAGTGGGGTTAAATGAAATAAGTAGTTTGGACTGTCGAATGCAGCAAATGTTTCCTTCAGGTTTCTTTAAACTAGATTAAGTGGGCATATTTGAGTGATTTGTAGGCACCTAATTTGACCAGTGAGGTGACTCTAAGCACTGGCATCATCTATATGTTGATCATTTCAACATTTTCCTTTAAACTGCAACCAGAAGCCCACCACTTCTGAAAGTGGAAAGCAATGGAGGCACTCCAGCTGATTCCTCGACGTCAAACGGATTGTTTTTTTCCCTTTATTCATTCACAGGATGAGGGCGTCACTGGTCAGACCAGGATTTATTGTCCATTCCCAACTGCCCAGAGGGCAGTTATGAGTCAACCACATTGCTGTGGGTCTGAAGTCACATGTAGGCCAGACCAGGTAAGGATAGCAGTTTCCTTCCCTAAAGGACATTAGTGAACCAGATGGGTTCTTCCTGACAATCAGCAATGGATTCATGGTCATCATTTGACTCTTAATTCCAGATATTTATTGAATTAAAATTCCACCAGCTGCTGTAGTGGAATTGCAATCCAGGTCCCCAGAACATTACCAGGGTCTGTGGATTAACAGTCCCACTAAGGACAATACCACTAGACCATTGCCTCCTGTTGGGGATAGGTGGAGCCATCATGATTGCATTGCACATTGGACAATCTCAGCAAATGCTCCAAGAGATCCAGAATATTTCTTAAGCATCTAAATAAAAAAAATGGACAAGCATGTGCAATAGGTGCAAAATTTTCTTTTACATGTTATGGCCATCAGGAAGCCTTTTTAGATCTTTTCTCTCTTGGAAAGTGGGTGTTGTTGGGCAGCATTTGCTGGCTGTCTCTGATTGAGAATGGTCTGCTAGAGGGCAGTTCAGAATTAATGATATTGCTGTGGATCTGTGGCCACACACAGTCCTAACTGTGAAAGGATGGTAGATTTTGCTCACTAAAGGACATTAGCGAACCAGATGGATTTTTAAAATTATAGTATGTGATAGTTTCATTGTCTCAATTCCTATAATCAGACCTATGTTCTTTTTTAAAAAAATTGAATTTAAATGTCATCAGTGCTGTGCTGGGATTTGAATCCATTGCCCCAGAGCATTAGCCTGGGTTTCTAGATTGCTCAACCAATGAAAGAGTGGCTAACAGCAGAGGTAGATTGAAACAAAAGCAAAAATTGCTAGGGAAACTCAACAGGTCTGGCAGTAACTGTGGCGGGAAAGCAGAGTTAATGTTTTGGGTCCAGTCACCGGACTCAGCTTTCTCTCCACAGATGCTACCAGATCTGCTGAGTTTCTCCAGCAATTTCTTTTTCTGTTTCAGGTTTCCAGCACCTGCAGTTCTTTGGTTTGTTTTTGGTTTGACGTGGATTGACCTCTGTTTTTATTGATGGGAGTCATGATTTTCTCTTTTTCAGACTCTGTGGGGCAGGCAAGCTTGGCATTGACTAATCCATTGACCCCTCCACTGAGAAAATTCACTGGATCAATCATCAATCAACTGCTAGGAGCTGACCAGGAGTTCCTCAGCCAAGCAAAAGCCAGCAGCTTCTGGGTCTTAAAGGTAACCCTTCATCCTTTCAGGGATCCATTTGCAAGAAAACGTATTGTTGTTTGGTTTTTTCTGGAGCGGGTAGCATGGGGAGAGTGGGAGTTCGAGGCGAGTGTAGGGAGTAGCTTTGAGAAGCCTCTAACTTGCCACCTTCACCCAGGACTCGGATTGCTGCAGACTGGAGTGAATACAGCTACCACCCACCCTCACAACCTGACAGACAGGTGCTTGGCTACTTGGTCATCTTTCTCACCTTGTGAGAAAGGCAGGCAGTAGAGGAGAAAATGACAAACAAGGAAATAGTGACTCGAGGGAAAATGTTTTATGTGGTGAATGGTTAAGATGTGGAATGCACTGCCTGTAAGGAGTGAGGCAGGTACAATCAAAGCTCTGAAGGAGAAACTGGATTATTATCTGTAAAGCAAAAATGTGCAGGGTTACAAGGGGAAGGCAGGGAAGTCACAGTAAGTGATTTGCTGCTTCAGACAACCAGTACACACACAACTGTTCAAATAATGTAAAAACCAAAAGAACTGCGGATACTGTAAATCAGGAACAAAACCAAAAGTTGCTGGAAGCTCAGCAGGTCTGGCAGCATCTGTGAAGAAAAAATCAGAGTTAACATTTCAGTTCTGAGGAACGAAATGTTAACTCTGATTTTTTTTCTTTACTGATAAAATGGTGCTCTGTGCTATAGTCATTTTGTGTTTGCGTCTTCTGTCACATTCACACCAGCCTGGGTCGGGTTCAGTTTGTGTTTCACTCATCTGTGGATGAACCACTTCTAAACTGACCTGATGCATTCAGGGAGCGTTTGTGGACTCGATGGACATTGCGTTGGATGATGTGCAGTGCAGTTTCCATGTACTCTGCAGATCGCACCGCAGTCCTAGTTTCTGCCAGAGGTTGCTTAAAGAAACGCAGAAGGTCAGTTGTTTGCAGGGACCTTTTTCTCAGTTTCTCTTTGTATCTGGAAATGAAAGAGCTCAGACTAAATGGAGATATCTCCCATGGTGACAATGTATGAATATGAATCTAGGATAAAATACGACTGAGTTAAATAACAGAGACAACAAGGTGCAGGGCTGGATGAACACAGCAGGCCACGCAGCATCATAGGAGCAGAGAGGCTGACGTTTCGGGCCTAGACCCTTCATCAGAAAAGGGGGAGGGGAAGGGGGTTTTGAAATAAATAGGGAGAGAGTGGGAGGCGGATAGAAGAGGGATAGAGGAGAGGATAGGTGGAGAGGAAACAAACAGGTCGAAGAGGCGGGGATGGAGCCAGTAAAGGTGAGTGTAGGTAGGGAGTTAGGAAGGGGATAGGTCAGTCCAGGGAGGACGGACAGGTCAAGGGGGCGGGATGAGGTTGGTCGGTAGGAGATGGAGGTGCGGCTTGAGGTGGGAGGAGGGGATAGGTGGGAGGAAGAACAGGTTAGGGAGGCAGGGACGAGCTGGACTGGTTTTGGGATGCGGT